AGAGAGAGAGAGAGAGAGAGAGAGAGAGAGAAACTGGAGATGTTTCAAATTATTGTTACAAATCAAAGAGATTTTAAAGATGTATATGCCTTAATTAGTAGCAGAGAAGAGCTATGACTAATGTGCTAATCCAACATAAGAATTAACCAATACACATGAATTGAACCCATACAGAAAGGTTAGGTGGTTTTATTGATGTTTAATCTTGCTGTTGTTTAATCTCCTACAAATAACATGCAAGATAACAGGAAAACATAGTACTTAGTTAAGACATCCAATTAACACAGCTATTCCAATTTTGACTATGTTGATATGACATGCTGAGTATGGCTGTGCACAGCTAACAAATTCTTTTAGAAGAAATACTTCAGACATCTCACCAGGATAGCTCTTCTCTGCTACTAACTAAAGCAGCTGCATCTTTTAAAAAGTTGATTCATGGGAGCAGCTCTCATTTAGAAGCCTCCCAAAAGACTTGGTTCCTTTAATAAATCGAGAGATGTTGTCTTCATCCAAGATCTCAAGCACATCTTCCAAATAATGTTTGAAGTTTGCAAGCCCTAAGGCTAAGCTATATTTTGATTTGGCTTACTATGATGCCTAAAACCAGACTAAGGACCCAGTTGTGGAGAAGGAGTATATTAACTAAAACCTATAACCATGTTGTTCTAGTTACATATGTTTATGTTCCAGGTTACATTAGCCATGATCTAGCATGTTATCCAACAATGGAATAGTGGCTAATTTATGGTTTAGAAGTCATTAGTTAACAGGAAAATTAGCAAGATACAGGAGTGGCCACAAAAATCAGCGGTGCCTGCACTTTTTTTCACATTTTGTGTGCTTGGCTTTGAACATGATGGGAGTGAGAAATTGATTAACTTGTATCACACCACATGTGATGACATATGAGTAAGCCTTCAGAAGTTGCTGAGAGAGAGAGAGAATGAATGAATGAATGAATGGCCAGTGGAAAGGTTGCATGGAAGCCTGTGCTCAGCAGCAAAGTAAGCAAAGACTGTGAGCACTTTGCTTAATCATCTATGGCATGATTAATAGGATAGTCCCCCGACCATAGTTAACACTAAGCATGTAACTAGCCATAGAGTGTGGGCCTAGCAGGCCATCTCTCCCTAAAGAAACTCAAAGCCACAGCTGACCACATGTTGTGGTCAAAGGATAGCAGCTTATCTGTATTGTTTCTTTTCCTTACTTAGGATCTAGTAAGCTGCCTCCAGTGGACAGGATGATGAATGAAATTGCTAAGCAGAAGAAAATGCTCCTTAAAAAGTATGAAATGTTATATATTATTTTAAAAGCTGTAGTCAGTGCTTTTTGTCTCTCCAGCTTCAGTGAATTAGAAAAGAAAGTGTTAAATCAAGGACTAAATAAACATTAATTCAAGGTTCTGCAATACAGTACCATTCTGGCAGGATACCTGGAAAGGTATATGCAAAGTTCCTGGAAGGACGGAGTTAACAAATAGGAACTCTTTAAAGAGGAGACACAATAGCCCTAAAATAAAACAAGGCAAAACACATCACAAAGTGGAACTAGGCGAATTGGAAAGGGCATAGCAAAGATCCACACTGTTTTTTAAAAGTAAAAACATAGTATCTATTTCTAGTCAGCTCAAATCCTGGTAATTTTCTTGGACATTGTTATGTACATGTTAGCAATTGTTCCTCTGTTGACATTATCCTGTCCTGTTTTAGAAAGAAAGATTGAACCTAAGGTCTCAATCTCACATCTCCCTAACCACAGCATGAACATGCTTCGGTTTTAAATACCATGTCCTGAAGACATTGCCTTCATCTCATCTTCAGTCCCTAGCTGAAGCAGTTTAAACTCATCTTTAGCTGTTCCAGTTTTAAAGTTGTCTTTTCCCTTTTCTCCTGATACAGTATAATTTAGCTCATTTCATCAATGATGTGATCATTCAGGATTAGGATATGCCCAGCTTCTATTTGGGCATGGAGAGATCTACCCACATAATGCCTCTCCAATGCTTTCCAAAGCTCTTGTCAAGTCTTGTGTATCAAATCAATTCACATCTTTATTATAGTCACAAACCAGCATATAGTCTTGTGTGTCATGTTAGTTAGCTAACTTGACAGATTGTTAAACCAGCCATCCTAAACTGCTGCCTATCTTCACCCAGTCCTATATTAGGGACTAGAATTGAAGGCTGCTTTTTCCCATCTGTAGGGGATGCATAACGGGAAGGGAAGGGAAGCTGGGAGAATTTACCAATCACTGTCTTTAATTTGTCCTGCATTGAAACAGTGAGGGTAGAACCAGCCACCACCTTATTACTGTGGCATTGTTGTTGGAAAATATGGGGTTTCAACCAAGCCTGTCTCACACGAGCACAAAGGGAGAGGCGGGTTCGCTGCGGCCTAGCTTTGCTGCTTTGTGTGGGAGGGGCTTGAAGCCCGCCTTTTTTCCTGTTTCCCTCATTTTCCTTCTTTTCTCCTCATGGCTCTCCACGAGGTAGGAACGAATCCTCTCTCCTCCTCATGGTTTTTGTAATAACATTTCACAACCCCAACAATTGTAAGGCTCGACAATTGGGACAGTGTATTTTCTGTTGGCATGCTTTTCTGCTGGTTGATATTATTGGTAGATAGCTATGGCCTAAGAATTGGTGCTTCACTTATGCAGGCAAAAAAGCTAACAGGTACGACACAAGAGTGTATAACTCTTCCTGGTTGTTTTAATACTCTCCATCAAGTTATTTTTCTCTAAATAGATGCTGAATTCTATTTTCAGAGCAACCTTGTGTGCCCTCTGGATAGAAAAGTGAGATAGAAATCATATACCAACGTTACTCCAGAGAGAAGGGTTAGGTATGGTATCAATTATTTCTTGCAAATGGCCCCAGTTGCTTTAATGGCATTAGAGAATGTAGGATGGGTTTGAAAATCCAGGGTTTTTCAGCCTTAAACCATAGGAGGAAAAAAAAGAAAAATTTGTATTATATGGTGCAGTTATCACTTTTCTCCCATCGATGTGTGCCATCGTGTGGCTAAAGAAAATAATTTCCACTACCCCTTGACTCATGAAGTGTTTCCAGGCAGTCAGCTCTTAATACCATTAAGAAAAAGATATTGTGTAGCTATTCTCTCTTTTCCTTTGGCTTTGTGTGGGCCAAGGGGAGCACCAGAGGGTTACAGATAGAAGGCGTTGTAATCTTCACCCTTTTCCTTGTAAAATTCCTTGGATGAAGCATAATAAAAAACCTCACCTAGAAGCATCCAAGTTATTCAAGTGTGGTGACTATCCAGAATTGTGGCTCCCACATAGTTAGACACTTCTGATTAGATACTTTTGATTTCAGGTAACCATGTTATATGTTTGGTTTGGATATATATGACAATAGCAGGATTTTTTGTTGTTTTTGTTTTAATCAGGAATAATATTAAGAAAAACAAATAAATAATATGCTACTGGGTTTTTCTTGGGCTAGAGAAGAGGGATGCAAACAAACTGCAGAGACAAGGCAAAACTTGAGACTTGGGCAATTTACTGCTCTGGATGGAAGATAATTTGCTGTTCTGAAGGACACATTACATTCTACTCATCTACATGTAAATGGGTCACATTTAACTTCAGAGAGGAAGGAAATTTTCTGTCGCTCAAACATCCCAGAAGAAAATTCAAACTATTACTCGATAGAGTCTATCAGGATTCCTCTCCCTATAAATTAAACTCTGACTGATAGACACATCAAGCTAAGCCATGGCTTAATGAAGGGACAGAAGTTTTTCTCTGCTGAGTGTGGTACTTGGCCTGTAAGTTGCATGTCCAGAGCTGCACTCCCAAAGGGCAGTGGATCTGGTCAAGGGAATTGTTTTATTTAATTTCACGTACATTTAGATTGAATTAAATTTTGCTATATAATATCTTCTACTTGCTCTCTACATATATTCTTCTATACGTTTTACAATACACTATTCATTTATTTAACAAATTTACTTTCTCAAGTCTCTGGTTTAGGCTGATGCCTGAACCTAGCCTTCATTTCCATAGAATGCACTCCTTTCACACAAACTTATATCAAGGTTCACAATTAGTGTCCCTCTGGCTGGTGTTGAACTACAACTTCCAGCAGCCAAAGCCAGCGTGGATGGCAATTGCCCCACAAGTTCCACCTATCTTTCTCACCATCTCTATGGGCTACAGAATACTAATTACTATTCCCATTTGTTTTCTGCTCTAGGAACATTTCCAGCACAGAGAAAGAAAGCTCGCCGTTTGTTCACTACATGGATGAAATTGCTGTTTGCATAGGAGTTAAGCCCAATGTGCCATTGCTCTTTCTACGGGACCCCAAACTAGCTTTGGAGGTCTTCTTTGGTCCTTGTACCTCTTATCAATATCGCCTTTGTGGACCTGGAAAATGGGAGAAAGCTAGAAATGCAATTCTGACTCAGTGGGACCGTGTTCTCAAGCCCCTGAAGACTCGGGTCATAGACAACTCTTCAAAACACACCACGTCATCCTTTTGGAAAAAAATCTTTAGCTTGTCTACATTTCTTGGAGCTGCTATAATCCTGTATATGTATCACGTTTAGATACTTCTGTGCTCATTTTATACTGGATAAAGGAAACAGCTAGGTATCATGTAATATAAAAAAATTCCCCTCTCACCCCTACGGGTGGTACGTGTCTTCCTCAATCTCGGGTCCTCTGTTCCTGCCTGCATCTTACACCCTGCCACTATGTGTTGGACTGTCCCTGAGGCCTCTTTGCACAAT